CAAACATCTATAAATACCGTTTGTACTGTAGAAAGGGGGATATTTACTGTGTTAAGCTAGGAATTAAATCGTGTATATTAAACAGCACATCTCATCGCACTTAATTATGGTTATCGCTGCAAAGCTATTTTAATTTTGACATCCGATCAATATATTCGATATAGCCACAACAAGCATTCTCAGAGTTGTGTTTGCACACACCTATGATTGGTTTAATTGAATCGAACACACATAGTTCAATCAGTCATTTATCCCCCCGAAAAGAAAGGAATTAGTAGATCATAATTTAGAGAGTGGTCAAAAAGTCAACATTGTACTTTTGTCACTTCTGCTCAATCGTTCACACTAGGGTGTTTGGTTCGATACACTCACGGATCCATTCATGAACATATATTTCTATTTCTCAGTCTGTAAAAATGTTATGAGACATGGGCACGCATAGTTAGTCTCCAACTAATCTAAGTGACGCGTACTCGAGAGATGAGTTAGCGACTACGCATGCGCTCGACTGTACAGCTGAGCTTGGAATTTCGAAAATTCACACCCTACCGGTACCTGCACTCACGCTCAAGTTCGCATGTAAAAAACCGCGGTACGTTATACTATATGACAAGTTAGTTGAATGTATTGTATTCTTACAATGGTGCTCGGCGGTGAAAGTTATATCGATTGTACCATGAAGTTAAAATTGTACATACCGGTGCTAATACACATACTAGGTTATGTGAAAGGCGCCGATTAAACAATGTACCCTGCTTTCAACAATTCTGGAACAGCTGGAATATTTAATGCCTGTCCGGGTTGATTTATTTAATGTTTTATTTATGTAACGGAGAAACGATTTTACGGTTCAATTGTTGCTTTGACAACACTGGTCGTTTTGCGATTAACTTGTTATATCCCGTACTCGTAGACAAACCCTCCATTTGGATATTTTCATGCAATTAATATCCCGCATATGGTAACAGTAAATATACTACACATGTTATTTTCTAAGCCCGTTAATGAGGGAAATGATACATATTGATAGCCGAATATTTTATATTAACCACGCTCTCAACGGTGGAGAGATATATCAACACACAGAAATACACATTTTCTGAAACTAACCAAGCACCAGTCAGTGTGAATTTTGACGCTACCACACGTAGCGGTATAAATGTTGTATTTCCTTATATAAAGAATGGCTAATTATGCCTAAAAAAGAAAGTCTGACATTTCACCCGTCATGCTTTGCATTTGTTGATCATAATCGGTTTCAGATTTACTCAGGACTTTCCCTTAGATACTGAGCGCAAAGGATTCTGGATAACCGATGTTATCGGCGTTGCTGTTGCTGTTCACTGCTGCCCCCTTTTCTGAATGTTTCCAAGCAGGGATTCGATGTTCCGGCCATCCCGAGTAATTGTGATATCGCTGCCATTAGGTTTGATTCAAGATATTATCGAGTCATCTTAACGATACAGATGTGTTATATTGAAACATAACAGTTTGATCATTTTACTGGTCCAGGAACTACATATCCACCGGGGGTGACAACGATGGAGGCGTGGACGGACAATCCAGGATACGTGAGTAATGGCGCGGATGAGAAAAAAACAAAACAAATTTGGACGACGTTTCACGGCAGCAAAAGCACGGACAAGGTTGCTGACATCGACGTTGATTCAAAGAATCTTGAGAAAGAAGAGAAAAATAAGAAATATAAGGCACTGGTACGTCAAAGATTTGAAGAGTTCGCTACCGAAACCACGCTACATGGCATGAAATACGTGATCAACTCCAAACACGGTAAATTGCGAAGGTAATTATTAAAACGATTTATTTCATAATCTAATATTTAAAATTTTGATATTTTTTTAATGGTAGGGAAGAAATCAACAAATCATTCGAAATTAATATAAATTACTCGTTTGTGATTGTTATACCAATAGGGGAATATGCATATATATATATATATATATATATATATGTATGGCAGATGTGTTTATTGTAGTGAAGGGTTCATTTTTTATACTCATAATAATTGCCCCGCGTTATGTGGATAGCATCCATATATTGTGTCAATATACGGGTATTTTGTTTGATCAAAAATGTAAAAAGTGTTCATATCCGCTTAGTTCTTATGGTGATACATAATTTGAATTAGTTTTATAACCTAGCCCAGCTTGAATCTCTAAGCTTCATTCGTGTAACGAATAAAATAATTGGAACTACGGGTTTATGTTTAGACACGTCAGACATTGGAGATTCCGCACCGTACAGTTCCCAACAGTCGGCCGTGTTTTTAAAAAGCTAGTAAATTATGTATGATCACTCCTCTCCGGGGAGTATTATCCAATCACGGGTTTGTAGTTTGACAGCGTAGAGTGAAATTGGAATCAGTGCAATCCAAAACTACCATTATAAAGTTCACAAAAATAATCAAAACGTCAAATTAAATGATTAGAAAATCTTTATTTTAGTCGTCGAAAGTTTTCACCAAGTATATCGTCTTGACATAATATGATAGTGAAGACAAATTGAAATTCATGCCATGTTCAGTTGTTAATGATTCACTTTTATGTGACTGGAAAACTAGTCTTATGATAAACTCGTTAATTTACATAATTATAGCAGTCACTGTTCAAAGTCAGATTAGTACAAACTCGATACAAGAAATAGAAATCGCGAAAGGTTCGTAATTATAATCAAATAAATGCAATAAACATCAATTTATTAAATAAATAATTAAAATTCATTGACATCGTTGATGGCTATATTTGTTTATCACTAAGACCGTATGCAAGCAACACTGGAACGCACCAATATAACAACCAATCATCGGTCACAGAGGTTATATGGTAGTTTTCATGATAAAACAAGATTCTACGATTCAGTATTTAGTTAGTCCCAGAAAAAAAATTGATCTATCCTTTTAACTTTTGACGATTTTAATTATTAAGTAACATATTTGTGGTTGTGAGGGTCAATATGCAGAGGTTGAAGCACCGACTGCACCATTATAATAATTTACTTGTGATGAATTACACATCGACATGGCTTTCGTAACACATTGGATAATATAGTCATGCTACTAGTGGTTGATGATGCTAATTCCCCTCGGAGTGTTTTAAAGGATGTCATCTCTCCTGCATAACAAGTATATTGAATGCACACCAAGGTAAAAAGTGTATAATCTAACGCTTAGTTATCGTTTTAATCAATATTCCCAGAGGAATTACAGCCTTTGATTAGTAAACCCAAAGTTTACGAGTCCGACATAAGATTTTCTAGACATCTGGCCAGAGTAACCACCGACTTACAAAAACACTACTGCATCGTAAGCGAAGAAACTGTAAACGATACAATGACATCTACTCTAGTGGTTTTTAATCACCGGAGATTGGGTAATAATATTTACCGGTAAACAGTCATGTTCGCCACCATAGTACATATTAGTATTTTGCTACAAAGAGATATGGTTTTGGACGTTATCCATGTCCACTTAGTGAATCGATTTACATTAGTTGTAAAGAACGCAATAACTGACTTGTGTGTCTTAGTGTGGAGGGAATCACCGACCCTTTCCTTTGCTGGCATATCGTTTTCGTAAGAGTTTACTACTTTCCCATGATTTATGCTGATTATTTTAGAAAAGCATATTGTCTTCCCATATTTATCTACTGTTTGTATTCTACCTGCGATCAGTTACAGATTATGATCAGTATTTAAAATTCACATGACGTACATGCGAGTGATACATTGTACTATTAATAAGGGACACTTATTCAAGAACCGTGACGTTATTTAACTTATAACATCAACTTATTCTACTCTAATCTCACGTTTATGCCATAATTGAGAAACTTGCATGCCATCATGGTACGACCATACTGTACAATCCACTTCGGTTATGTTAGTTATTATCGTTTAGTTATTTCATGTCATGCCATGTACTAAGAAGAGTGAAACTTCATGGGCTTCAGTGCGGCGTTCGACATCCTACCACATCTTCTTATTTAGTTACATTTGCGATGATAATAGAAAATAATCAATAGAACCAATCTAATGTATCACAAAAATAAATAATATCAGGAAATTGCTGGTCATTAGTGAATATTAAAATAATCTATTGAGGAAGAGGTTCCAAGATACAATATAAAAGACAGGAAAGTCAACAAATTAATTTCCAACAGAATATGTTCGCTGAAAGGCCACATCATTGTATTCAGATTCCATATAAATATATGATTGATGATGCATATTAATGAGAATACACTAAGCGGTCGATGTGATTACGGTACTTTCTCACATATGTAGTCTAATATAATCCACCCTTATATTAAATATCAATAGATTACATCCCTATCGCATAATAAATAATTAAAAAAAACATCTCAAACATACATCGAATGTGCAGGAAATCAAACAGTTTGTCATTCAACTAAGCGTTTACACATGGCTGAACCTTGCAATATATGTTCACCGCTGGATGCACTTGAAAAGCGATACATCGCACTATTCTACATTAATACATCAAACGCGTTCCCATGATTGTCCGTCAAAAAACAATGGACACATTGTGTAAATGTCACATTTGCTCTATTGACCACCATTGAACAAAGAACATATTTATTTTTAACACATTAAAGTAAACTACACTCCCTCACCAGAGGCCTTTCGTTAATGTATTTTAATGAGATTACTCTTAATCGTGACAATATTATGGCAGTGATGTTAATGACTGATATATTGAATATGCTATTCTATTAACTTTGTGAATACATGTCAATCATTGGCGGTAATAATTTAACTAACAATTTCATTTTTTTCTCTAATTCATAGACAATAATGACCTTGATATTACTGAAATGTATTACATTGACATTAAATTGACTATAATCAGTCGTTTATTACCTTCGCCAAGGAAGTTATCTTTTCAGTAGCGTTGGTTGATTTCTGTAATCCAGTAGTAAAGAATGTATATAGCTACCGTTACCATGGAAATGACAATTTTAGAAAAGTTTGCCACTATAACTCAATCAATTATAGTTTTATAAATTTTAAGTAGAGGATTACCCTAACACAACGACGAATCTCGATATTTGTAGGGTTACCATGGAAACTGTAAGTTCGGAAATGATTTTCATTCATAATTCAAAACATTACGGTGGATTTTCATGAACTTTTCAGGTGGGGTTGTCCATATCTAATTAAAGCATTTCCTGTAGCTATATATATGCGGTTGATGTTGGGCAGATGTTTACACTTAAACCCCAAAGTTTAAAACATGGTCACTTCAACATATCAGAATATGACAAACGGATTGTTTAGGGACGGAGTGTTAAAACTAATTAGAACACTCAAACATATATGCAGGGTAGTCCAAAAGATCATTATAGAGTCTAAATGTCATGAATAATTATAACTAATTGAAAACAAAGACATGTACATTCTAGTCATGGTAAGATCATAAATAAAGTGATGACAATGTGTTGTCAACCACTGTATGTGAACAGAGATATAACCGATATATAGACAATAACCGAAATAGGCGAATATAACGTCATATATATGTTATAAGAACATACATTATTTCTTTATAACAACGCGCTTAAACAAAATTTTTACTTCGTGAGGTTATTCTGTAGTAATATGTGTTGTAATATCAGTGTTGGCATTTTTTGTGTGTAATGAGAAAATATTACTAGCGTGGATAGATGGAATGTGATTTATACTGTCATAAACGTTTAGGATTCTGACCAAGAATATACACGTGTCATTGGGTGACAATTTACGACTTAAAGAACAACAAAGTATAATTTAATAATTAATGTCGAGCATGGTGTATATTCACATGGGTGGATGTAAGCACGCTACATAGGCCTGGATATACTATTTATTCGATGAGTAATCATAGTGAGTTAAAAAATGTGTAACCGTCATATCAAACATGTGGTGGCGTCATATCACGAAGTGTTGTCATATCACGAAGTGTTGTCAGCTTTTAACGCACATTAAAACAGACTGAGCATTGTATCTGCAGAAACTAACGTAAACACTATTCAGTTTTTCGAGACCGACATAGTTAATTGACAACAAAACGGTACTACAGATAAAATACAAGTTTATGGTACTATGTTGCGAATAAACACCTGCATTATTAGCCCCCGCCGGATCTGCGATCCGGGCGGGGGTATTAATTTGGGTCGTGTCTGTGCAATGTGTGTGCACATTTTCATGTTACCAGCTTTTTCTCACACATGTGTGATCCAATTCAGTTCAGAGTTGGTAAAGAGACAGAAATTGATGGTGCTATGGTGCACATCAAGTTATTTTTTCGATTCTTCAAAGTTTCACTGTGTTTTTCCTTGATTTTTAACATTTTTCCTTCAAAATCCGACTTTTCCCGAAATTACCCGAGTTTAATCCGAGTTTTGATGACGCTTACGCAGTTCTCGTCTCCGTGGAAATCAGTCAATTTTGTGAGGATATTGTATCCCGGAATTGTATCTTTATTTGGGCAACGCTTCTATGGACAAAATTGTGTCTTGTCAATTTCAAAGGTAAGAAACTGTGCTTGTTATGGTATTTATACACTTTGTATTATCGTTTGTGTCTCGGGTTTGGTGATGTGAGAAACTATTGCTAACCTGTCGAGAGTTTCGCCAGAAAAACTGCCTTTTTATTATGGTTGTAGGAACTGATTATGTATTGTGTAAATTGAAAGTTTACCTCGTGACTTAAGAGGTTTGCAGTGCTCTTACCGGGATTCAAACGTCGTAGTGGTGTCGTCGTAGTGGTGTCGGCGCAGGC